GTTGATGCTCTAACCACCATTATATGCGTCTTGACAAGCTTTACAAAAGTCTTTTAAGCAAGAAAGGTGATTAACTTAGTATGAAAAAAGTTTATCTTGCATGAACGCCACATTCGCACTATAGTAAATTTATATAGTAATCGGAATCACATTTTACTAAAATCATGCTTCAGTTGACTGAAGAATCATCAATTAATATTGGTAATATAATTACACTTCTAGCCATTTTCATTTTCATGCATGTTATTGGGCTGTCAGAGGTGAACAAAATTTGAGTATTACATTTAGAAATGACCCAATAAGATGCAGAAAATGGCTAGGTGCTTATGTCAGTTATTGGGTCATGTTGTTAATGATAATTGCTGATTTCTTGACACCACGTTATGACATGCTCTTTGGTTACAGTGTTCTAGTGAATAATCAGTTATCATCAATATGACCAATAACAAGTACTTGTTCGTAATTTTGCTTTTTTAATTATCTTTTATTTTGTTTTATAGCCAACTGTCCGCTTGATATATTAAAATCGGATTGTATTAACTCTCAATTAGGTTCAGAATTAATTAAATATTTAGGATTCTCAATTAGCAATTTTCTTCTAGATTTTGATCCTGAAATTTGTGAAAACGTTAAAGTTGCTGCTCAAACTGTTATACGAAGGAATGTTATGACATAAGAAAATTTTATTTATTTAGTTGTCAATAATTTTTCAAGAGCTTACATATATAATGATCTAATATACAGGATATAAGAACTTAACATGATTTAAAGCAAAACCAATTAACGCAAATAAATGAAATAAATGACTAGGTAATAATAGTATTTATGTTTTGGTTTTAATTTTGCTAATATAAGTTTTTTTTCTTTTTTAAGAAACAAGACCCTAATCAACTTCGTTTACTTGGTTACAATTATCATCATGGTATTGGTGTTAAGAAAGATGAAAAGAAGGCTTTTGAATATTATATGAAAGCAGCTGAGATAAGAAATCCGGTAGTGATAATTGATGTTAGTACTTGTTATCAATTTGGAAATTGGAATAGAAATAAATTATTAATTCAGCTGATTAATAAATGCTCTTTATGCATAATTGTTGTGAATAAAATGACTTGAGGGTATTAAATAATATTATGTATTTATGTTTTTGGTTTATGAACTTATATACTACATATTTTCTAAACTATGATTAGTGACTTTAGACTTTAACAAATTGCGAATACATTGACCAATAATCGATATTGGATTTAATTTTAATCAGCTAACTTAGCCAGCTGATCCTTCCAGGACTAAATTTGCTATATTGAAAGCTTAAGTCTTCAATTTTAGGTTTATATTTTGTAAGTTAGAAATTCCTGGTATTATTTACTTCATAGATATTTTGGTATACAGATGATCAATTTACTAATAAGTAGTCATATTTAAGTTTAGGGCTAGTCTATGTAAGAAATGAACATGTCGGTAAATGAACTTTCAGTAAAGTAAACTGTCTATAAAATGATTTTGTCTATGAGCTGAGGATCTGTATTATTTCACCTTCATAGACAACTTAATTTACAGACAATTAATTTACAGACAAGATTATTTTACTGACAATTAATCATAGACAGGTTCTTTTCACAAACAGTTTATTTTTCATTGACAGTTTATTTCACAGACATGTCTTTTTATAAATTGCACTAGCCTTAACTCTAATTTTAAACCTCCTAATGACAATGAGAATTATTTTGTAAAATGAACTGTCTGTAAAATAAACTCATCTATGAATTAATCGTTGTAAAATATATTTGTCTGTAAATTAGATAAATAAATCTTAGAAATAAACCCTATAATACATTAACATTAAGAGCCTGTGATGAAACTTATCGCATTACTTACAGATTTTAATAAATCATTAGAAGTTGAACTCAATATTGCAAAAACATTAAGAAGTTGTGAAAAAACCTATCACATGATGAAAGATATAAAGAATCACTCACTAATTTAAATAAATCACTAGAAATAGAATGTATTCTGGTAAAACCCATCATAAGATGAACAAGTATGCAAAATCAATTCAATCACCTAATTGTCATCCATTATTCGGATCAATATTTATATACTAAAACCTAGGGTTCCTAGATTCAGTTCAGTTCAAGTTCAGGTTCAATGAACCTGAACTTCAAATTTTGCAGATCATTGAACCTGAACCTGAACTGAACTTTGAATTTATGAACCT